AAAAAATATATATATATATTTTTTACTGAGCTTATAGGCCCAATAGTTATCATCCAGTTGTGAACCACTCCAAGTGGCCTATATCCCAAACACATGAAAGTCAAGTTAAAAAATACTCAACAGAATAAGAACAAACTTATCAATCAATAATGATGATCAACAGAACGTTAATCAGTTAATCCATGAACCCAACCCCACAAAGCGACATTTTACTGTGGGAGGGAATAAGATCACAACACAGCCTTCTAGAATAACCATGTTTCAAAGGCCCTCTGGGAAAGCAACAGGGAAGGGCCATTACATCTCCAGGGGATGCTGTTCTGCAGAAGGGGAGCCTCAGTTATGAACACTCATGTCCATCATCCCTGAAGATGGCATTCCCTGACCAACGGAGCACACGCCATCAGATCTTACAGATGAACAGATACCAGTAAAAATAGGAATCTGGTAGAACTTTTCAGACCAGCAAGTTTTACTAAAAGGCAGAAGCCTTCAGTTAGCAAAACTTCAGTAAAATGTGTTAGTTTGAAAGCTGCTACCGGACTCCTGCTTGATGGCTATGGCTCTCCTCCAATAAGGTCTATTGAAGGTAGATGGTCCTGCAGATATCCAGGTCCAGAGCCCTCAAGCGTGACAACCAGCATCCTGAACTGCACCTGGAAGCCAACTGGCCAGTAGCCATATCCAGCAGCTCTGAGGATCCAGTAACCTAGTTCTTGAGTTGAGGACAGTGTTTCAGAAGCAGGATTGCCCAATCCTTCTTCACACCACTGTTTCCTGATTATCAGGCTTAACTCTCATGTCTGAAGAACCTGGGCATGGTAGTTTGTTAAGGCTGCCAAGGATTCCCTTTGCCCACCTTCCTTGTAGACCTTCACCTCCCGCTGATAACTGGGGAGAAGGAAGGCTTCTAAACTAGCAAAGATCTGGTTGGTGTCTCAACAGCTGCTCCCGCAGACAGCTTTTACTGTTATATTATGTATGGCCCCAAAACAAATTCCTCCAGCACACACTTGGAATAAAGAATTGGAACTGAAATTGACGCATGGCATTAATTTGCACAGAAAACAGGTGAACCACAAGCAACGGCCAGATAGCAACTTTCAGAGTCGAGAGCAGAAGCACTCACTCCGTCGGACGGACCACGGAGGCGTTGCCTAATCGGAGGATCATCGGGCCTTTGGGATTGCGGATTTTCTTAACGGATGAGGTCTTCAGAAGAGCAAACCTTTTGATCAGATTAAATCCTGCAAAAGAGAGAAGAAGGTAAGCTGAGAGTCCATTGGGAATTTGGGGTGCTGTAATGCAGTGCACTGGGGAGGGGAGGGCGCCAGGTTGGGGAAGGCTAATTTCTACCATCTATCTTTTTGCTTTCTCCTTCGATTCATGAGGTCTTCCCTGTTGGACCTGCCTGACGTTGCTGGTGCAGACGAACCCCTGAAAGTGTAAGATACGGGGGAGTGAAAAGCTGTGGGGCATGAGAAAGGACAGAGGTGGCTCTTCGATGTGTAAAAATATGTTGAGTCAGAACGGCCGGAAGTCTGACTTTTAAAATGGTTTTTAGCGCGGCGCCTCTCTAGTCCTCATCGAGGCAGGCTGCCCATTTAATTTGTATAAACGAAAAAAAGACATCGGCTTTTTTCCTTCAGCAAATAAAGGTTTCAAAATGTTGTGGCTTCAGAGTCTATTTGTCCACGCCATTTATTTGCGTGTTGGTTTATGGCTGTGTTTCTCCACCTTGGCAGTTTTAAGATTTGTGGACTTCAACTCCCAGAATTCCCCAGCCAGCATGGCTGGCTGGGGAATTCTGGGAGTTGAAGTCCACACATCTTAAAACTGCTAAGGTGGAGAAACACTGGTTTATGGTCACAGGCCAAAAGCCCCATTTAAAATACAAAGCATCACAAACACATCCCCATTCATAACCAAAACCTAAATTACGTGTCGATCCATCTCTTCCTAGCAACTACTGTTATTGCACAACATTCGGTGACTTTCTGGGAGATGTCACAGCACTGATCGTCTAACAGGAAGTACACGCTTGCCTGCTGGAAGCTGTCCACATAATTTGTGGTGAGATTAGCTCCAGCCTCCAGGAATGATTGACGGAGCACGTCAGGAGTGCATAATCAGCTCTCTCTGTTTCCGTGCCTGAACGTATGGATGAATGCTCTTGATAGGGGATATTATTAAATCTCCCCATCGATGGCACGCAGGATAGGAGGCCTAAGACGTGCCAGGCTAAGTGCCCTGCTAGGCAAGGGCACAAGGACAGGGTAAAAGGAATTGGGTATGGTAAAAACACAGGTACATAATCTCATTACAGCAGGGATGGGAGGTGTTTTGATCTAACCTTTTGTGCATTAAGGTCCAAAATTCTCTGCCTGACCTCATTCCAGGTCCCACATAAAAAAAAAAAAACATTTGGGGATAAGCCCTAAATGCCCAATCATTGTCCCCATTTCAATACATCATCTCTTGGCCCTTTTATCTGTGGCCCTGCAAAGGATGCTGGGAGAATCTCTTGGGCCATATCACGAGCATCTCTTAACACAGTGTTTCTCAACCTTGGCCACTTGAAGACGTGTGGACTTCAACTCCCAGAATTCCCCAGCCAATTTTAAGATGTGTGAATCTCAACTCAGCATGCTCACTGGGGAATTCTGGGAGTTGAAGTCCACACATCTTCAAGTGGCCACGGTTGAGAAACCCTGCCTTAACATAACACATCTTATGGAGACGTTGCTGCAGAAGACATCCCTGCCAGACGCAGGAGCACGTTAGCAAGGCAAAGGTGGTGCCACGGACGTTACAGGGAACTCTGATTGCAGGCAAAGCAGGTTTCTCCTGCTCTCTGTGCTTCAGGCCAGGTTGTAGGCACTGGTTTTTAAACCAGAGGACCTACCTGCCACCCCTACCCCCACTTCTTGGGTCCCTTGTCTCAGCCCGACCCTGGGAAAAGTGTGAAAATGACCATCTAGGCTGCTGTCGTAAAACGACAGACCAAGGATGTGTTTCCCGCTTGCTGATCTGGCTGCAAGGTAGAAGAAGGCTTCAGTGATGTCTGGGCAATGGCCCCACAGCTGCCTCGCCCCTGCCACCACCCGCCCCACCCCACCTGCCCCTGGGGAGGACAATGCTCAGAAGACACCGTTTGGACACTTGATGAGGTGGGGGTGGCCTTCAGCTCAAGAGGGCTGCGCATTCACCGGGCTCTGGAGCCCAGATTCAATGGGTGGGACTGGCCAAACCAGGAGGGCTATCTCAGACCCCGCCAATCTGGAGGGAAGGGAAGGAGGAGAACCTGCCGGGAAAGGGCTGCTTACTCACCAGTTATATTTACGAATTCATCACTGCTCTGGTCCAGCCGGAGACCTTCTTTCTGCATAAGTGGACACTTCTCCCCTGTAAGACATATCCCAGCAGTCACTATGGAGCCTTGGAATTCGTAAGGAACCAGGGCGCTATTTCCAACAGGACTTATTAAGGACAGAACTGGGGGGATGTTGCTCAAGCAACGTTTGGATTTTTCCCTGGCAGAGAGGTTGACACTGACTCCGAGGCCAGGCCTGCCTCGCCAAGACCCCGTTGTCAGGACCTTTCATGCATATTAGATTCTGTTTTGGAAATGACAGAAATGAATAATAAGGTAGCTGTTTTAAAAAAGAAAAATGACTCATCTCTGGACACACATTCACCAGGCCCTGCATTTGTTTGCTGTTGGACTCTCTTTCTTCCCCCCACTCCCCCAGCCCGCTCATCCCCAGCCAGCCTGTGGCTAAGAGCTAGCATGAATGGAATTTATTGAGCCACAAGAGATACAACATTACACAAAGACAAATTTAATAAATAAATAAATAAATCTGCAAAAGAGGATTACTCTCAACTATGTTGGCTTGTAGTCCCCAGAAATCCTCAGCCAGGATTCACGCACTGGGCTGCACTAAGCCTGTTCGGTTTTTATTTGCTCACTTCTGTTGATTTATTTAATTTTCACCCAACTTTTCATTCATGTTCCCAGGGCAGTCCACATAGTGCTCCCTCGTTCTATTTTTCTCCACAACAACCCTCTGAGGTGGGCTGGGCTGTGAGAGGGTGACCGGCTCAAAGATACCCAGTGAACTTGCATGGCTGTGGGTGGATTTGAACCTTGGTCTTCCTGCTCCTAGGCCATCACCTTAGCTACGTCTTCATGCAATATGTTCTTGTCACCCGGTCAGGAAAGAATTAGTGGCTGCATTTGTACAACATGCTCAGTGTGGTTAGCATTAACCTTGGTTAGTTATTTTGTGGCTTACCATATTGTACGAACCTAGCCTATTTAGTTAGACCACAGTTGTGCAGTATTGTTACAATGTTTTAGATGAACCCAGAAAATGTTTGAATTCAATAATTAAGTTGAGCATCTTGGGTGAAACAGCACTGTGAGAACAAGGTGTGCACTGGGCGGCGCTTGACTAAAAATGCACCATGACCCAACTCAATGGTGCCTTTGCATGCAAGGATTACGATAGCTGAGCATGTGGAATGGGAAATAGCATTTCAGCAGGAAAGTTTACTTTCAAAGGCAGCTCGAATCAATTAACCTGCTCAGATCAACCCTCGTTCACTCTGCTGAGTAGGCACAAATGTGTTTGAGTGTGTAACTTGGGCAGTGGGGAGAGCCTATGTGCTTTCAGCTGATCAACTAAAACACATATAATTAACAACCAGATCATCATCATTACCCTGGGTTAAAATCCCTATTTTTCACCCGTCTCTGGAGGAATAAATATAAGAACTACTGTAATGGACATAAGATGGATGCAGTGGTACATCAGCCCATTTTTTCTTCTGGTAATTTCTGCTACCCTTTCAAAGTTCTGACTCTCCGGTTATTTGTCTCTGCATTTTACAGCAAGCTATTCCAAACTCAGATTTTATCAAAGGGTTGAAATGCTGCCCAGGTCCAAAGTGGCAAAGAACAAACAAAACAGAATGGAGGATATTTCATTCGGTGGAAATAGAGCTATGGCGTGGTTCCTTAGAGGCGCATTTTGGGCGAAACGTGGGTTGGTCTCCCTCCAGCTTCCACATGAGATGACAACCAGGATCATCTATCTCCCTTGTGGATACGCTTATGAGGATAATAAAGGAAGAACAACTTTTCCCCCAAACCTTCGCAATCATTCTGAGAGGCAAGACAGTTCTGCCCTGTTGCTAAGAAGCAAGCAGTGTTCACAAGGGCAATGCTGATGTTCCTTATTCCCAGCTCAAAAGCAAAGAGGCATCTGATTGTCAGAACCAACAAACCTAGACCTGCTTCTTCGTTCAGCACTCAGAATCCTGAACTAAATGTTTTTCAGCCCCAGTTCTTAGCATGCCACCCAAGGCTTAGGTGCCGAAGGTCACAGGAGGTCTTCCATAGTTGCTACTTAGCAAAAGGCCCTTAGCCTGAGTATATTTTTACCCACAAACAGTTCTGCTTCTTAGGTGGACTCTCTTTTGCTTGGCTAATGATTAGGGCTGCTGTATAGGGGCTACAAAAATAGATGACTGCAAAAGGAGCATTGGCTGTAGACCAGATCTGGTAGCCCTGCTATTGATGGAGTTCCTGGGGTCTATTGCTTACCTTCTCAATGATGACTCAGTAGCTCAGTTGATGCTTCAGGACCCAGAACACAATAATTTCCAGCTTTAACTCTAAATCTCTCTCAAATAAGATATTTCAATGGGAGGGAGGGAGGAGAAATGACACATAGCTCGAAGCAGTAGGCCTTTCCTCATGTTCCTGTGTGTCACTGTAAGCTCTGAAACAAAAATTAGATCTTTTCCCCAAGGAAGAATGTGTGAACTCAAGATCCCTAGAGTGTGTCTCCTAATTACCAGTTATGACCAGTTGCTGTCATGGTTCAACCACAGAACATTTTTGCAAAGGACATTGCAGCTTCTGAAAAATGGTCCCTGGGGGGCCTTTTAGAGGCATCCAAGGCTGCAGCTTCAGCTCTTTCTCTTCCTGCCAAGTCCATTAAAAAAGCAAATAGACTTCAGTTACGAGGCTGAGGAGGAGCATGGTGGAGACGTTGATGGGTTAGTCTAGGCCACAAGATGCTCTTGGGCAGATCAGCGGGCTGTTTTCTACACAGCAGGAGAAGCTGACAGAACATTTTAGATAAGACTGTTCAGTTGCCATCAAAAACTGGCCTAAAGCAAACATCTATGGATTTTAAGGTTCCTCATTAGGCAAAATGTTTGAGAAAATATATGCGAGGAGCTGTTAGGGATCACCAATGTTTCCATGGAAATAGCCATGTTTTCAATAAGTTAATAAGAAACAAGGCAGAAAAACATTAGCCGGGGAGCATCTCCAGATACTGTAGTGCCTAAAGCGAGACAGACAGAAAGGTCCTGGGTCGTGTTAAGATAAGGTGTCCGAGGACTCCCAGAAAACCTTAAAATATTTCAGAGCAGGAAGAGAGGAAGAGCTTGGAAGAGAAGTGCATAGAGGAGAATTGGAAGTCATGGCTGTCTGCAGGAGGGGTCCAGAAAGTCAAGTTGGTGGGCAATCAAAGCCGTACCCTTTGCTAGGTTGTGGCCACCTCCCTGCAGGCCCCCCTGTAGGAAGGTGAGAACAGAAGCAGCGTGTTGGGGTAGGGAATGATAGTCTAGGCCAGTGTTTTGTGGCACTGTGTCCTGGCACATAATTCTGGCCATTTTATGATACCTCCTGAAAATGCTTTTCTATAGCAACAGCCTTATTTTGCCTCCTTATCATATCAAAACAGGGATCATATGCTGTACTAAAAAAGACCAAAATGGAAGACGTATTCACCAGAGTCGAATGACTTTATGGCAGTTGATTTTAATGGAGTAGCTTTTATGTCAGCGGTGACTGCTGCCATCCCACCTCCCCTCTCCTTCTTCTTTCTTGCCTCCTCCCAAACGGAGCCCATGCGCTGCTTTGGAAACTCTTTCCAAGGCCTGCAAAACCATGGTCTTCCAGAACCTCGTGGAAATTGCAGTGACAACAACAACAACAAACCTTGTGTGTGTGTGTTGACTAACCTACTATATGCTTGTTCAAAATGCCATCAGTTTGGGGGAGTGAACAAGGGAGGGGATGGAGATGAAAGTGGGCAGAAGAAGAAAAAAAGAAAAGAAAAGAACAGGGTGATCGAATATCCCATTAGAAAAGAGCTAGCTGCTTTTTCCATTATAAAAAGCAAAGCAGCATTGAAATGTAAGAACCCTGGACTGTAGTTCTCAAAACAAGGATGAATGGGAAAGAAGCATAATTTTGCAACAAACAAAATGCTTCCTGCATTCTGGCCTACCAGATGTATCTGGGAGGCTTGCATACCAGACAGGAGGAATACAACTCTCTTCAGATCTTTCTTGCTCCCTAGCAACTGCTGGCTTACATACAACTGAAGTCCAACAAATGCAATGTCTGAAATTCAGAGACCGATTTGAAACAACAATGGGCAACATTTGGGGTTGTGGGCATCTCTTCCATTGCAATCACTTTCTTTTGCTTTGGAAAGAAGCCTATCTTTATGAAAGCTACCTTGGATTTTTCAGCAACTCATGATTAAGCAAACACATTGTTAGATATACAGTAACCCTAGATCGGAAGCTTTTGTGCAGGGCTGGCACCAGAAATGGGTAATGTTGGAGGCCCATGCTTTTCAGTGGGTACCACTGATCAATAGTGTCCCTGGGCCAGCCCCAAAAAGGAACTCCCCAAGGTATGAGAGCAGTAAAAGAAAAAAGTTGGTTCGCTCCCCTTGCCCTCCCTCTCTGGTTGTGACACAGAGGAGAACAAACCTAGAAACAGAGGGGAAGAAGAGGCAGACCCATGAAGGAGATCTTCCCTGAGCAGAATAGAAGAAGGACCATTTTACAAAAGAGCTCCGATGCGTCTTCCAACCACAGAAAAGGAGCACGGAACACTCTGAGCAAGGAATATAATGCACATTCTTTAGTGTCCTAAGAAACATGCCCACCCCACAACAGGAAATTTGTAGCACAGCTTTCAAATTGCCATTGATTCTCCTGATTGCCTTGTTCGCTTATTCCTAGCGATTGTATCTTCCTTGCTAAAATTCCTGCACTAGGCTTCCTTTACAAACATCTGAACAGATAATCAACACCACTGTTCCACCCTGTTAAGTTATTTTCATTCATTCATTTTAAGCAAGCGAGGAATAGCTCCCTTTTTCACCTGCTGGATTCAAGGTACCTCTTTTCTTTTTTTAAAAAAATCTACAACTGAAGCTACAATAAACCTTCCTTGTAAAAATCCATAAAGATGTAACAGAAAGAGAAACAAAGCCAAGCCAAGCCAACTCTTAGACGCTGATCTTGGAAAGTGACCCCTTTCAGACTTGATTAAATTGGGGGCAGTTTTTGCTTTGCATTTTTGA